CGAACGAACCACCCATTTATCCGGGAAAAACGTCGAAACTGCGCCATGTTTATGATTCCTAACATGTCCACATTAACATTTAACAACTTGAGGAACATTTGCCCCACCTATCGGTCTGTAAAGAACATGCATTTCCTCATAAGGCAGCTCGCTTCTTCAGTATTTTTATTGTGTGTGCGATGGGGGTGGGATTGAGGTGGGGTGACAATGGGAGGGGTGAGTTGTGTGCATCGGTACTACAGTATTGGTGAACTCATGCTGGTTTATGGAACTTGAGCATTACATTGGAATCGTACATTTCTACAGACAACTCTTCTGTCAATTAACGTACATTCTATATCCACATGAACTAATGCAGCGTAATAGGTGATTTAAAAGAACAAGTCCGTTTTATAGACATTTAAGTCCTTGCCAAATGGGAGAGGAGGACTGCTTTAACGGCCTATACACTACAGATCCACAGGTATTTAATTCTCACAAATGGCACTTAAACGCGTTTGAAGCGAATGCGTTAAAAAGTGGTCCAACATGAGAAATGTCACTTCATAAAGGGGCAGTCGTAAGGACAATTGAAAATCGTCTAGACGCTTGTTGCCTGGAGGTGAAATGTTGAAGTAAGTATGTTATACTATATTTTACATTATATTATATTAACCCTCAAGTGACCGAGTGGGGTCATTTACGACCCCAGCCATATGATTTAATGTGTAATCTCTTTATTTTTTATTCAAATTTTCTTTCCTTGCATGAGTTTGTCAGTCTACTAATCCTACACACTTTCACAGTTTTTTGTAGGGATCAACCAATTAGTGTGACGTATACATCAAAAACTCTTGTGGGGTCATTCATGACCCCAAAGAGAAGCACTGGTTTTTAAATATTAGTTTTTAAATTTTATTCAAATTTTTTTGCCCAAGCAACACTGACAGGAAAATGTTACATGTATGTGCTTCATGCAACCAGCCAGTGTGCCCAAAACATAGGCACAAATAAGTGGTTTGTGAAAATTGTGCTTGAAGTGTTACTAATAGTGCATCGCTGAATCTAATTTCAGTAGCTTTGTTGGAACTTGTTCTCATAACTGGGTCTCTCATTTTGACGGTTACAATTTTCGGGTATTTCGGAAATCTAAATAATTCTGTCGATATCATATTATACATGTATTAACAAATTGTTTGTGTGGATTTTGTTTTATACACAGCTGTGGTAGTAACATACATGTAGGTTGATTGAATGTGTTTTGAGTAGTATGACTTCCTTACCAGCATTAGGGTATTCCCTACTCAGCAAGTCAGCTCATTATTTTTATTGAAGTTAGCAGGATGCTATCTCAACATAAATCAAAATATTTTTACTCAAAGTAATTTTGTAATGTACTTTTTTCATTTAGTGTGGCAAATAAAAAGAGAAATATTTCTGCAAGTGGAAACTGACAAGGACTGTCTAAATACCGGTGTAATGTTGTTCTTAAAATCTGTGCTTGGATATTTCATGCAATTAAAGTATTATTACCAAATACTTATTACATTAGATCATTATAAAATACTTGTCTTAAATCCTGGGAGTAGTATGGGTGTGATAAAGCCTCAACAGCCTTTTATAATAAGGATCCCTGTACAGAGCACAATGGGGTCATAGATGACCCCACTTGGTCATTTCAGTCAGTAAAATAGCTTGGTCTCTTGAGTGTTAATGTAGGTTAGATAATGTTTGCCTTTTTAACACCAAATGCATCAGATTGAAAAATGTATAAATGCCATAAAAGGTCGGTAGGGGACTGTGAAGGAGAAAATATCAAGCTAATGCAATCTGATTGTCAAGCTGTGATGCTAATGAGAGAAAATAGGCAGTGTTCAATGCGCAGATATTTTTTTAAATACGTTGTTTTATTATTCTAGGATCATATTATTGGTGTATGCTTTGACAGTATTAAATGTCCAGTCCGTGAGAAGTTATTGGGGCCACTGGTATCCCTACACTTATCAGTGTAGAATAGATGGACCAAAACTTGATGTATACAGCCATACATTTACTTTTATCATGGATGGAGTATTTAAGGGTTTCATCCAGGACCTTGATCAGTTTTTACACCACCAGAGATGCGCTGGACGAGTTACGTAAGTTAACATGTGCGTGTGAATTACTGCCTTCGCCAAGGAAGTTATGATTCTGCATTCTTTTGTTTGCAAATTGACAGATTAACCCAAAGCGTTATGAGCGGATTTTGATAAAAAATCAGGATATGTCTGAATCGAATTGAATTTTAATGGCTATCAAATAAATTTATTATTAATTAAATAAAATGAGATTTGAGCTGCTTTGGCGGAGATACATTTATTTGCCTTCAGAGTGCATTCTACTTTCTTATATATATATATATATATATATATATATATATATATATATATATATATATATATATATATATATATATATGATGTCTTTATAGCAACCAAAGCATCATAGAAGAAGGCCGGAGAGCTGTCCAGTATTTCGCAGGATATGGCTTTGATATGTCCAGCGTCCGTGACGAGGATTTACTGGACGGCAGAGTGTATCTAGAGGGCGGCAAGCTGCTCTTCCACCCGTTTTGCTTGAGCACAGAAACTAAATACAGGATTATGATGGGTAAAATATCAATCATACACTACTGTAATATGTACCTATCACACAGTGCAGTTGGTATTCTTTATCTTAAACTAACATGTGGGCGCTTAAACAAGATGCTCATTTCCCTCCAGAACTATTAACAGAGGGATTTTCCCCCGAATGGTGGCTATCAGTGACGTATCCTATATCAATCATTTCATCGCAGAATCTGACGGCTGTGTAAGCAGGTTTTATACACGTGCTGCCCTGTACGACTACGGATGGACGCTGGAGATCTTGGAGGACGTTGAGATCAACAGCCCCAGGTATAACGGGACAGCGCCAGCTGGCGGCCATTTCTTGTATGCGGATTACCAGTCTATGGTAAGTACCATATTATAGCATTAGATAGTACATGTATTGATGCTAGAGTACTTTTCATTTTAAAATATGCAGCAGGTATTTATTTTAGAATTTTTGTGCAGATTACAAGCCACTTGTAAATAGCCCTTAACTACAGACGCTGAAACGATTCTTTCAAGAGAAAAGAATGCTGATAGATTTTCGTTTTGGAGTGGATTCTGATACTTATTACTCTTAATACTAATAATATTTGTAAAACCGTAGTCTTTTTAAAAATCTTAGATCGTTAGCACGGACATATTCCCGTTTCTTTTCAGACAGGACTTGAATATGGGACCAACGACATGGTGTTGATTCACTACGAAACCATAGGTCCCAATTTCATGGCAGACCGCCATTTTTACCTAGCGGAAGTGAGAGTGTACAGCGACATCTATGGTGAAGGACGGAGTTATGGAATTTTTCAGATGGATGAAGTAACCGGGAGTATAACAGGGAGAGAAGTCGTTACGTTCTCGAAAATAAAGTAACTGAGACCGATGACCAGAGCAAAACGCAAAAATCTTTGCAGGGTATTCACTAAATGTTTATTGGTGTTATTATTAATTTGAAATGAGTTGCGTTTTACTAAGAGCATAGAAAAACAGGACCCCGTAGATTCTCACTTAACTAGTGAAACCCAGGTAGCTTTCTCAGGTTCAGTTTCAAATAAATTATTCAGTTTGGAAAAAGGAATACGAGTTGATGTTTACTTGTAAAATCTTGATTTGGTTGCGGTCTAACACTCTTCGTCTGTGATACATGTATCTTAGTTTTTTAGATATTGTACATGGCTCTTTGTTTAGAATTGCGTTCATTAATACTCCAACTGTAATCAGCGACAAAACGTGTTGATATGTTGAGTGTATGTATGTCTCAGTATCTTGTCTACCCGGTAGTTTTTCTATGGACACCAGGCGATGCTTTAGTGGTCCAAATACCTTGTACAGTATGTGTTTTAATGCTTGAATAACAGTAAAATTGAAATACTGGCAGATGTGTCATAATTCTCTTTTTGTTATCCTGTCAGCATTCTATTACGGTCCCGTTGGGTATTTTTCTTCCCTGTGAACGCCACTTTTTATTACCCGAGATGCGTGAAACGTTTAATGTCGCTTTACATTCCTCGACCCAACGAATTCATTTTACTCGATGGTTATAATTACTCGCCGGACTCGCATCTGCTGTGAGATACGAATTAAGTTTTATTCATCGTGATTTGTGATTTGATGATTTTATTTCCCGTGAATTTTGATCACTCTCCTTCCCTCCAATGGGACCCTCTGCTATAAATAGTTTACGTTATTCGTCTTATAAGATCAAAATTATCTTATATCGCGTCCCCTTCACAAATAAAGTTAAAGACTGCTGTGCACGCTGTATCATCCCATAATGTTCCGCCAGCCCAGTATCTCGAGCAGTCTTGATTGCCGCCGTTATTGTCTGGTTGACCTAAAAGAGAAAGGGCAAGCGTATCACGTGCATGCGGTGACGTCATTTTATTTGGCAAAGCGCGTGGCATTACGCCATGTGAGTGGCAAATCCCCCCCCCCCCAAAAAAAAAAAAATATATATATATATATTGTTTAAGTGCTTTATTTTGGTGTCCCCTGCCGTGGGATTTTATCCGTTCCCATGGTTACGACCACGTGTCATTTCTACGGCATACCAATATTCCCAATGACTTAGTGTTATGAATACAAAGAATAACCCAGAAAAATACGGAATCGGAAAAGTGCTAGGTAGTTTAATCAAAATATAAAAGCACTAAATAAAAATGGACCCGATCCAACAATTTTTATCCCTCAACCTTTGCATATTATGTTATGGGGAGGTGTGAATACGTACCTCCGCTCCACGCGGTGAAAGGTGCCGGGATGTCGCCCCAGCCGGACAGTGTCCAGTGACCTTCAGAGGCTGCGTCTGTTGCTGCTGTCCACCAGGAACAAGCAGCTCGTGCTGAAAGGTACACAGTGACCGTTAGACGTCACAATCTATGAAGTATTAACTCATTGAAGAAGTTTTCTGGCAAAAAAGTTGTACATTTCTATTAAACCTTTCAAATAACCTAATGTGTAATTGCAATATGGGTTACATTGCCTTTTCCCTTATATTGGCCTTGGACGAACCTCCTTCTTATCCCCACCCGCACAAAATAATAAAGAGACAAAAACCCAATAACTCTCTCTATCTCATACTACCTTAAATTTGATAGCAAGTGTCCCCGAAAAAATGCAATATTCCACCCCCCACCTTCTAGGAAAAAAAAAAAAAAAAACGGGCCAGTAACTGAATGTTGAAGTGGTAGTCTTTTCTTACCAGCATCGGCAGCAATGTATTGTGAAATAAAACCGTGCTCCTCTGCGTCATTCACAGCGACTAGCCTCGCTCCCATCGTTTCACAGTGTGCCTTGGCCTCGTCGAATGTCCCTGTCAATGTCGTATTGAAACTGTAGCAACTAGACCGGAACAGGGCCTCATACTGCGGCGGGCAAGTCACTTTTATGCAAAGTAAAAGAAATAGAAATTATTCAAGACACTAATTGTATCAATTATGATTTATATCTACATGTGTTCTTTTAAGAACATTATAAATTAAAAATATTATAATCAGATATTGTTTGTGTACACAGATTTTTCCACAGCCGTCCATTAGGTTCAGACAGGTCAGGGTTAGCGTGACGTCAGTTGTCCAGAATCTAGGATAGAGCTTACCTCTACCTCGGACGAAAATGTTTTATTAAAATGTTTTATTATGCCAAGCCTGTGCAAATCAATGGGAACCGTTCGGCATACAGGACAAATATCGAAATCAGTGCAAAATAGTGCGTCCGGTCACGTATCGATCGCCATTATGAAACGTTAAGTATGTGAGGAAATAAATGGATTATGGAAATTCAGATTATTTTCGGAAATCCTTCATCGTGATCGCATTTATGAAAAAAACGCACTGAATTCAAAGTTTTAATTTCAATTACTAAAACACTGCTCATTATCAGGAAATGGCATTATGGTTATACTGGTACATGTAGGTCTTTGCGACAACTGTGCGGAGTAAAATCCCATTGCAATTGTACTCCAAAATGCGCTTTGCCCAAATGAAGCATTTCATGGATTCGCTTATAAATCACTTGAAATGGTTATTGCTCTGTTGTTTCTATACACACGTAGACCTACCTCAATCTCATTTTCTATCACAGGACATGCCTTGATTTTTACAAGCTGTCTACTTTCTCAAACGCCTACAGTATGACCACTGATTCAGCTCGTCTGAAGTGGAATTACTGTCACCTTTAACCTTGTCGGCAAGAAAAACCTAATCCAACTATCAATAACTTCCATTAGTCATGCAAACAACTCATGGTACGAAACACAGTGACCACTTCTAGTCTCACCCAAGAAAACTTCCTTGAGTATACCTAAAGTCTACCTCCCACAAAAGGTCACCTTACTTCTGTTACCAATGAACCGGACTTGTACACAGTTTTCAATACAAAAACTATTGGACATGTCTACGTTCCATTCAGTGTTGTATTTACAGAGTAAGAGTATGATTTCCTCCTCCTGAATTAAACAGTATTCTACTACTTATTCCCTCTTTGTTTCCTGCGTTCATCCTAGTAACAGTGTATTGATCCAAAACCTGCCTAAACAGTTATTTACTCTGTAGGTGTTAAGACTGTAATTTTACCCTATATTCCAGATAAATTCAGTGTGATTTTTGTCTGCAGTAAGCACTAAAACAACGCATTACAACGTTATACATGTGTATATTAGCTCCCATCTGATATACATATATTCCTAATATTCCACTCGCTCGATTACATTATAGATGATAAAGCATATCCCAGACCATGAAATGACTTTAAAACGACACTGAAGTGTCTTTTAAGTCATCGTAAATTAGCTCACAAACACGCCTTAAAAACATGTATAAAATATCTTCAAATCTGAAACCAAATAAAACGTATATTAATGTGATTTGCTTACTTTATCGAACTATACTTAAAAACGGAAATTGAAAATCAGGATAAAGTTTTGATAGTAAGCAACTATCATCAGTGACTGCTTTTGCTTTCAATTAAATTTTTATAAACATTATATCACAAGATGAAGGTGACAAAAAAAAAAAAAAAAAAAAAAAAAAAAAAAAAAAAAAAAAAAAAAAAAAAAAAAAAAAAAAAAAAAAAAAAAAAAAAAAACATACGACTAGGCCCACAAAAGAACTTTAAATAATTGGACTCAACGTTTAGAAGAAAAATTGGTGTACTTTTCAGTTCAAGATATATACAGATTTAGAAATTCAGTTTTACAAACTGGGTACTGTACTGTACTGTACTGTACATGTATAACAAAGCCTTGATCAATGTAAATAGACCATCACTGCCTTACTTAGGGTTTAAAAAGACCAAATTCACTAAAGAATAAATCCATTTTCGGTCAAAAGTTATTCTGAAAACTGGTCATGGTGCTACGGAAAGCGTACTCACGGTTCCGGTCACAGTACGACCCACCGTAAGGGACGGGACAGACACACTTGTTCTGTGAATCAGACGCCTCCGTTGAGTTGATCCATGTCCCGCCATTCTGGCATCTGCATTCCTGAAACACGACAAAGCAAGCCATTTTCGTGATTCTTGCGTTCCTCTTTCAATTAATAAGATGACCAATTCCTCACTTTAGGAAACTGGTTGAGGTCGAACAATTTATTATCAGTATGCTGCGATTTATATTACATCAAAGGTAAAACTAATTTTAGGTACATTGTACCATATCCCTAGATATCCGTAAAAATCGTTTGCAAAGATATTACGTAGAATCATGTTCCTAAATTGATAAATCCTATGATTTGATTTAACTTTTAATAAAATAACTTTTGATCAATTCACCCAGCTCCTTTCAACATTCAATAAAATAAAACTTACCAAGTAGGATTCCGTCCGATTACGTGTCTGTAAGTAGTTGCAGTTTTGATCGCTCAAAAGAAACCCGCCCTGAACAGAGGAACAACTTGAATCTGTCAGAGCACAAGTCTTGGTGTTACCGCAGTAATATGCAGCGCGACAACCGCCGTAAGCGAGGCAATCACCAGCGCAGTGACTTTCAGATGGAGGATGCGTTGTATGAAGAATAAAATCTGCATCAAATTTAGTCTGAGGTTGGATCCAAAACCACGAAGAGGCAGAAATCGACGCACCAAACAGTGACATTAATAGGACGCATGCCGCTGAGAAACGGGTTGGCATAGTTGCCATTTTCAAATATGAAGTCGCAATACTGATTCTTCAAAGTGAAAAGCAAGAAATGATTTCCCATAGTGCATTGTAATATCGACCTTAAAATACGTGGAAGTGTCTCTTCACATAAGGTGTTCAAGGCGTTACTTGAATGGTTTACATTATTTTATGCTATGTCCCTGCTGTTGGCAGTTTAAATTGATACCAACCAAACAGCAGCTTCAAAATGACATTATTCAAAATTTCCATTTGATATCAGATACAATTACCGCGTTCTTTTCATTTGTGCTTATAATCAAGTGAAGTTCGAACAATAGATCCATATCTTTTCCTTTTAACCCAAATAAGTCACTGTTGTTTTACGAAAGTGACAAAACTCTAGGGGTCCATTTTCAGCGAAACTTCTGTTTTCCATAGATCTATCTAACTTTCTGTGACTCTCGCTGAATGCAACAAGATTAACAGAAAAAGACGTCCCATCTTGCTACCAACATAGTCGTACGGTAATTACCACATTTTCTGCATTCTATTCCACGATAGGAACAGACATGTCAACCCGTTAAACTGATTGCATTCAGCAAGAGTCCCCGTGGAGTTGGATCGAACTACGTAGACCGATATATTTTCAATGAGAATGAGCCCTTACACTTTGTTTGACGTTTACGTACAAACTTAATGGTTGTGTGGACTCATATGTTAAAGTGCATGAGTGTTTTATCAATTCAGGATATTTATTTAAATGCATATAGCATTCCAACCAAAGGGCCATTAAACGGACATTGGGCAGTTTCCGTGATGGCTGTCATTGACAGGATCGCTATGTGTTTTTGAGTGTAAGCAATTTCTGTTTTCACGTTTCATGTTCCGCTGTGCATCAATCCCCGCATGCGCAATAGGCATGGCTGGATAGAACTGTCCATTATATGGTCTTCCTAACAGCTTGGCTCGTTCAGTAATGAACGAGAACAACACACTAAACGCTGTACGCACAAAGTGATAACGTACTACGTACAGAACGTATCAACTCGATTGGATATACTTTTCATAAATGACAACTTTCTATTTCGTGGTTCATGTCATTTCTTCTCCCAAAGTCCTACCAGTGTATGACAAAGTGTTTCCTGCATGATATTGGCTGTAAATATATATTGCAATGCATTACTGAAATAATTTCTCCACAGGCCAGTAGTCAACGGAATATTCTATTAGTTTAAGGGTGCGTTCACAATGATATTACCGTCCTGTGTAATTCGATCTAACTCCGCAGGGACTCTCGCTGAATGCATTCAGCTAAACAGATTAACACGCCTCGCTTCTAACTTTGCTGTATTCTACTCAATGCCAGCAGAAAGCCATCTACTGGTGATGTTTTATATCTTTGTTATTGTCGTCAAAACCAATCAATGAAAGCATTACAATTTTATAACAATTTCGTGTGAAAATATCAGAGATAGAATGCCGTGTATTTGCGGATAATACATGTAGTTGTTCCCTAACGCTCTGTTTTGATCGATATGATGTCGACAGTTCCTAATTATTTGCAGTCTGCGCCATATCATTATAATTGGCCAGTAATGCAAATGTTATTTGAATTGTTTCGAGACTTCCTATTAATCTAATTGTATTAAATAACGAATACAACTACATGAAAGTCGATCGATCCGGATCTGTAAACTAAAAAACAAATGAAATCGAGAAGAAAGGCGTCGGAGGGCCTTTTTATCCGATCGAAATAAACGTTCCAATTTTTTTAAATGCTAGTATACAGAAGAAAGGCCAGTAAAGCATTTTTGTATAATGGACTGTTTGAAGTTATTTGGGTTTTACAAATCAAAAGCTGCACAGGGATATTACCAAAGCTATACAGAGTCAAAGATATACGTGCAAGTAGCAGTGGCACGAAACAGTGTAACGCAATATATTTTTATTGTTACATTACTATCACCGAAAAATTTTTCAGTTATTAAAGTGCGTTTTGAAGTTTCAGGTTCAGGATATTTGATCCGATGCGGACACAGCATTAAAGTTGCGTTGCACCTCCGAGACTCGAGCAAGAATCAATGAGTGACATTTGTGTTGTGTTCGGTATATTATACAATCTGTTACGTCCAGGAAGTGTTTTATAATCAGATTTATTGACATACATTATTTCCTGGAAACGGATAAGGTTGTATCGGTAATAACCAATATATGTATCGATTTGTAGATAAAGCGCGGGTGCAGCAGGAAGCTTAGAGTCTATGTTTTCTTACTTCGCCACGTCATCTGCGTCCGCCGCGAGCATATCTCACTCTCTACCAGATTTTCTTTTTGCTGTTACAAAATTGTACGTCATTCATACATTTTTCACAGCTAGAAGACCTTTTGTAGAGAAAACACCATAAGTCTTGTCACCCCTACTCCTGATAAAATGCAAAGACGCATTTGTTTATCGGTGTTAAGATTTTTTTATGGTACATGTACATGTATTATTCCATTATAACAAAGCCCCCAGTCCCCCTGGCGGTGCATACATTTACCCAGGAAAGCACTATATGCACTATGAAGACGAACAGTATAAGATATGGAATTTTTGAAGGGAGGCAATTGCGTCATCACCCAGACTGTATCAGGGCCAAGATTGCCCAGGCGTCGAATGTAAAACGCGCTGAGACGCATATGTAGTGCGATACACAAGGAATGGGCTTTACTTTTTTACTTTTACATATCCTGGGGTAATCTACTCTTGACAGTATGGTAATCAATTGCTCTCATAATTTTTATTGACTGTTTTGGTAGGCCTACTGGTGTGGTAGCCATTACTGGAAATAATGTACATTTTGGGTAATGTATTTCTTTCGTTTTTGCCAAATTGTGCACTGCTTTAATTTGTTATTTATCTTTATTTCTACGCACTGTTTTTGTCTAGCGTTGATCTTGCATTTCAGATAATTTTACGTCAGGAGGCTGCAAAATGATTAATCAATTATGTCTTGTAAAATATTGAATATGCCAATAATTCTGTCTTTGTAGCTATACCAGTTGTCTACTAGCACTGCCTTGTAGCTATACCAGTTGTCTACTAGCACTGTCTATGAAAACTAAATGTATATATATATATATATTCCCAAAAGTGTTTTTTACTATTTCAAGTTTTTCGCTTGTTTAAAAGAAATCAATTTTTCGACGTGGGTCACCAGGGCTCCGTTACTCGAAAGCATCGCGAATTGCGACCGAGCGCTAGCGTCTCTATTCCATAACTCAGCATTTACTCGCCCCATATAGGCCCTTAATATTATAGCCTCGATTTAAAGGTGATTCGCAATTTGCGATGCTTCCGAGTTACGGAGCCCAGATCTCACAACACCAGCAAATCCATTATAAGTATAGTATTTAGAGGTGTCGATGAGTCCTTAGTGCTTACAGTATATTTGAACCATGGTGTTAATGGTAAATTCAAATTGCAAACCCCTCGAAATAAGCATAGACAGCCCAAAAGAAACGGAAAGACACCAAAAGCCTTGCTAATATTTGCCAAATGAACACACCGTCGAATGCAATGTGATTCCCTTCCCCCTAAGTAAATCACATATATACATGTATATGCGTCAAGCGTATTTCGACGCAACAGCAAAAAAAAAAAAAAAAAAAAAAAAGGAGAAATAGGAAATGTATGGATAAGAATATATGAAATATAGGAATATATGAAACGAAAACCAGACCATCATATTTTAAATAAGCCCAAAGCAATATCTGATCTGCCAATGTTGAACCGAATACCACTCCATACTTATAGGCTTGATAACAACCATTTCTCTTTTTACGCAGTCACAAAACAAACACGAATACAGAATTAGGTCACGCGGATCTCTTGCTAAAATCTAGGTCACGTTTGAGTGTACATACCACTATAGCCTACATACTTCCTTCTTCTATATTGAACAAAATACATGCCATTTAATCGCTGTTAACATAACAAACCAGTGCCCGCATCAGCATGGCCGCTGAGAGCTCAGCCTTTAGGGTTGTCATCATCTTAATTTTGGCTGATCAAGCAACATCAGGTGCGTTACAACTGTCTGTTTGTTAATGTGTGTGTGTGTGTGTGTGTGTGTGTGTGTGTGTGTGTAAAGAACATAATATACATGTAGGAGGTTGTGAGGGGTAAGGAGGAAGTGTATGAACTAACTGGGCAGAATTTGTGGTGGTGGTGGTGGTGGTGGGGGGGGGGGGGGCACACGTACATGTACCAGCACAGGTGACAATAACTTCACTGTAGTGTACGTGTGACATGGGGTGGCCTAAGTTATACATGTATTCGGGTATACGTTTTTTTTTTTTTTTTTTTTTTTTTTTTTTGCGGTATACCCTGAAGCCGCTTCCCTCACGCCGTTATACCTGTTATACTTGAGACATTATCAACCGCAGGTCGGGGAAAGGTTAGGAGTAACAATCACACATCTTTACCAATACCAGATCTAAGACAGCGCACTCGTCTTTGCTGAAAATTTTCCAGCATATTACCGTCGGCAACTTTAACGCTATATAGACAGGTTGTTTCCTTATCTTGACGGCCTCACATATTGGCGCACTTTCTTTTTTGGTTTCTGTCTTGTAATAGCTGGAATTTCCACGTAATCAACTCAGTACATCTTGAGGATATGCGTTTGGACGTAGACCAATATCGGAACTTTCCCTGAGTCACCCGATAACGTTTTGATTATAACTGAAAGGAGCACTTTTATTTGATCTCTCGATCCGTATAAGGCTCTTCTCATACTTACTTAGGACCGTTATAAATATTTAAGTTATGTCTCACAGGCTTATAGGTGCATCAAGTGGCAAATCAAAATGACCATGTTAGTACAAAAAACAAAATTAAATTAAATTAAATTAAATTAAATTAAATTAAATTAAATTAAATTAAATTAAATTAAATTATCATGACCAAGGCGCCGTTGTGTTTAAGACTGCATTCCCACAGATTTTAGATCGTTCTATCCCCGTGGGGAGTCTCACTAGATTGCTGTCATTTTAGCCGGCTTAAATGTCTGTCCCGCCTACTAAAAGCTGTAAGGGGGTAATTAACTTTCGTGGGCACTCGGCTGACAGCAATTTAGCGTGAACCCCCAGGGAGTGAGGTCGATCTAGATGG